TGGTTCAAACAAAAGGTCGTACGTTCGTCAATATTCCTTAGTAGCTCGTATGTTCCAATAGTATACCGATGTATCATGCTTGAGCTTGCAGGCATAAACCAATGCGTCCATGAGTGACGAGTTGAGACAGGTTGCAAACGGCTTCAAGTTAAGGGTGAAGTCATATACCGGTTATGACGTGAACGGATATCGCTTCCACACGTCAAGACACGAGCAAACTCGGCCCGATCGGAAAACCACCAACAGCCAAGTTTTTACGCCGGGCACTCATGGCGTCGAATACTACGGAATAATTGAGGAGATCTATGAACTTGAATATGAGGGTCGGGTACCTCTTACTCCTGTCATATTCAAGTGCCACTGGTTTGATCCTGAACGAACGAGATGGACCCCTCATCTTGGGCTAGTCGAGATTAGGCATGATTCTGTCTATAAAGGAACAGATGTCTATATTGTGGCTCAACAGGCCGTGCAGGTGTATCATACGCCATACGCATGCCAAGACAAAGACCATCTTAAGGGTTGGTCTATTGTGCACCAGGTATCTTCGCACGGTAAACTACCTGTTCCAAATGATGAAGATTACACCTTCGACACAAACACATATGATGGAGAGTTCTATCAAGCAGATGGGCTACAAGGGAGCTTTGAGATAGTCTTACCCGGTGTGACGACCGCCATGGAAGTAGACAATGAAACGGTTGATGATGAGGACCCTAGAGATGTGCTAAATCCGAAGGACATTCAAATGCTTGAGCGATTCCATTTAGGCAAAGACAATGAAGAAGACACAGAACCTTCGAATAGTGTTGCCCATTTGGACAATTTTGACAGTGATGATGAGACCTATGACCCCAATCATGAAGATTATTCCTAAACCATGTAATACTATGTTTTTTATTAAATTTTGTTATGTTTATTCATTTTGAACTATTTGACATGTATGTACTAACACTTGTTGTTCATTCTTTGTACATTGCAGGTGACAGAACAAAGATGGTGGGCAACCATTCATCGAGGCAGGTGCTCTCGGTGTACCAGAGGCTACGCCCTCCTGATGGAGGCGAGGGGACGTCTTCGCCCCTAGCAGCAAGAGCAGACCCGGGTCGCCCCAGCACGGGGAGGGGGAGGGGCCGGGGTCGCCCCAGGAGGGACTCGCCTCCTCCCCCGGCTCTCGACCAGCCGAAGGACCCGTCTCCTACCCCGGAGGACCACGTGGCGGCCACTAGCACGACCACAAACACTCTGTCGGGGGACGAGGGGACTCAGTAGATGGAGGACAGTTCTGCTCAGTCGGCTCCCTACCTGCGAGGTCCCACAAGCCTTTCTCCGGTTCTACTTCCTGACCGACGCCCATTGGTTCGTCCTGTGGGAAGAAGGTAAGTAACTATAGATGTTATCATTAGTACTTCATATGATACGTTGAAAATCAAAAGAGAAACTGATAATTTTTCGTAATCACTTATGCAGGGGCTGGCTAATTCTGTCGGGTGCTCTTGACCCCCCACGCACCCCCGCTACCGTCCTAGGATGTCTGTGCAGGAAACACTTCCCCGGCCTTGTGGACTTGAAAGAGGGGAGGTGGGAGCCGGCCTGGTCGTGGGACAGGTACAAGCTCGGCTCGGATGACGAGCAGGACAACAAGCAGGAGCGGGTTTTGGCGGACTTTTGGGTAAGTGTCTCACAACATAGCTCAATACATCTCCTCCATTGCTTAAGTCTTTTATTGAAATAATGAACAGATACATCGTCTTTGTATGCAGAGGTACTTCAAGGCCGAAGAAGCTAGAGAGACCCTGGCGGATCAGACGACACACAGAGCCTGTAAGAAGTACGTCGGCGACATGATTCACAAGGCGCAACTCTAGGCCCACGTCGACTACTATAGGTCCATCAAGAAAGAGCCCCTCAACAAAACCGGCGCAAGAAAGGTGGCGCTGACCAAGGAGCAGTACCTTCAGGTAGGTGAATAATATTGATTCATTTTGAGATTTAGTAGGTCTAGAATTGATCTTCTTATATGTCAAACACTTGATGACATGTAGGTGCCGGCCTCGTGGTGCATGTCGCATAGATCGGCATGGTCGAGGATCGTGGACAGGTACCTTGACCCGGAGTACATCGCAAAGCACGAGCAAGGCAAGCGGAAGCGGGCACTGAGGACCGCTCCAACTCACCACCAAGGCAGCCGCAACCTCCCCGCATTCAAGCGGGCACTTGTATGAGATGTCATTTATCTATTCTAACGCTCAATTTTGCCTGATTTCTAATTATCTTGCCGTCTTTCTCGCAGGAGGTGGCACACCCAGACGTGCCGGTGTCAGAGTTTGGGGCATGGGCTGTGTCCCACATGGGCCCGGTGAAATTCGGTGTCGTCTTCAACCCGGATGCCCCTGCCCAGGCTTACTCTGACCCGAGCGTCCACGCTAAGGTCAGAGACTACATGGAGGCGGTTAGGGCGCTCCGTGGCTCAGATCACAATCTGAGCACTGAGCCCCTTGAGACAGAGGTGATCGTGAGGCTGGGGCAAGGCAGGAAGCATGGGCGGTTGTGGATTGCAAACGGCGCTGACTCCTCGAGCTCTGCACCCTCTCTCTCCGACGTGAGGGCACGGAGCATGGCCAGAAGCCTTCCCATACGTGCACGGCCTACTCCAACACTGTCGTGGGTCGACGAACTTCAGGTAATTCCGGTTTCACTCGTCGTACATTGAACGTTACACACATTGATCAGATTTGCAATACTAAACACATGTGATTGAAACACTGTAGGCCAAGCTGGCAAAGACAAGGGAGACGCAAGCACACCTGACCGTAGAGCTAGAGGCCATGAAGAAGCAGATGGCGGACATGTATCAGATCATGCAAACCATCGGGCAAGCATCGGGTGTCCAAGTGCAGTTGCCAGCTCCAGCTCTGGTTCGACATTTCACTCCTGTGAGTATGAAAGTTTAATGCGTTCATGCCATTGGGATTGTCGGCCTTCGTGCTGTTGTGATTTTCGGCCTTCGTGCCGTTGGGATTGCCGGCCTTCGTACCGTTGTGATTGTCGGCCTTCGTGCCGTTGTTTCTTGCAGGTTGGAAACCTCCCCGTGCAGGGGAGGTGCTGCCAAAATTTTCAATTTTAGAGTCTAACACATACAATCTCTTCTCTTTTGTGTAGCCTCTGTCGGCGGGTTCAAACAATCCCGCTAGCGTGTCACCGGCGGCTGATCACGTCAACCCTTCGTCGCAGTCCGGTCCTTCACCGCTGTCCAGGGGGCCATACCTATAGTCTCCGTCGCCGCAGTAGGGATGTTGAACTTTGTGATGTTGAACTTATAATAATAAACTTGTGATGTTGAACTTTGGTGCATTTGTGATGGATTTTCGATGGATTTATTAAATATGCGTGTGCTTGTGATATATAATGCATGTTGGTGATATAGATGTGATGATTGATGTATATATATATATATTGTCTGTTGCAATGGAATGTAAAAAAAAATTGCAATTCTCAGGGTCTTTGCCGAGTGCCATGAGCAAGGCACTCGGCAAAGATTTTTCAAAAAAAAATCTTTGCCGAGTGCCTCGCCGAGGCACTCGGCAAAGTTTTTTTTTTTAAAAATCCAGAAATTCTTTGCCGAGTGCCTAAACAGGGACACTCGACAAAGAAATTATTTAAAAAAATTAAAAAAAAACTTTGCCGAGTGCCTAGGCAGGGGCACTCGACAAAGTAATTTTTTTTAAAAAAAAATATTTTTGCCGAGTGCTGGTTCGGGCACTCGGCAAAATAACCGTTAACGGCCGGCACGCAACGGCCGTAAATATTTTGTCGAGTGCCGCCCCAAGCACTCGGCAAAATTGTTTTTTATTTTGTCGAGTGTCCCGATAAAAAACACTCGGCAAAGACCCTTTGCCGAGAAAAATTTTACCGAGCGGACTTTGCCGAGTGCTACACTCGGCAAAGCCTTTGCCGAGTGCAACGGGCTCTTTGCCGAGTGTAAAAACACTCGGCAAAGCCGCGGCCTGCAGTAGTGATGTGTCCTTATGGATGGAAAAGTAAGGATGGGAGGACCTTTCTACTTCCTTATGACGAATTGATGATTAATGTGGGGTATGGCCCCCAAGACATGGGCCGCACCATCGGAGGTCCGACCCACAAGATCAAGGCGTGCACGGCGCTGCTCGGCGTGCACCGCAAGACATTGTATAGTACCAAATAGGATACTTTACTTGTAACCCTGCCCCTCCAAAGTATATAAGGAGAGGCAGGGGTCCTCTACTCGACATCATGTATTCAATACAATACACCAAAGACACAGGACATAGGGTATTACGTCGATCAGACGGCCCGAACCTGTCTAAATCGTTGTCTCTGCGCCTGGTGTCACCATCTGGTTCCTGATTACGCGTATCCCCACCGACAAATCTACTATCGTGGGATACCCCTCGGTGGACTGCCGAGCATCTTTTGTCGACAATTAAGATATCATGATTTATGATCCAATTATAAATATAATGCCTATCCCCCCCCCCTAAAAGTCGTAATAAGGGCACCTCTAAGAAATTGAGGTATGCAGTAAACTAAATAATAGTCTCGTAGTTCGTTCGAGCCTAGGAAATAAGAGTCTATTTCTTTCTCTCCTCTTTCTTCCACATAAGCAAAAGACTGAGATCTTCTATAATGTTTAAAGCACGCATCATCAGTAATTCACAAACTAAGCAGCTATATATAGCTAAGAAGGGTCGTCGTAGTACTAGTATATGTACTGTAGTATATATACACCACGATGACTCGTCACATTTCCACCCGGATATATATAGTAAGGAATACTCGATCACTATCGCGGGTAGGTTCAACGAATCTAACGAGAAAATTAACACCTAGGCTAGCTTTGCCGTGTTAATTGGGAGGACACTGCACGAACTTTCGTTGACTTTGATCCGATGCGGCCAGCTCGCTGTACGTAGCCTGGTTGGTCCCCGGTAACCAAGGGCGGTGGAGCAAGCTGCAGTAGGCTACTGGCGCCGGAAGACGTGCTCCTCGCCGGTGCGGTGGTTGACGTGGCGGATCCACCGCCCACGCCCGGACCTCCTGCTCTGCTGCTGCGCCGTCGGCAGGCTGGGGCCCTTGCCGACCCCGACGTGCAGCACCTCGACGCCGCCGGCGCCGATGGGGAGGTAGGCGGCGCGCACGACCCTGGTCCCGGCCGCCATCGTCCCCCACGGCGCGGTGGCGGAGGCGGTGGCGGAGGCGGCAGCGCGGCGCCGGACGCCGCCGCCGGTGGTGTCGCCGTGGCGCACCACGACCATGCCCCTGGGCCCTGGCCTCGCCGCCCTCAGCACGGCCGCCGCGTCTCGCCGCCGCGCGTCCAGCACGAGGAGGTCGACGCCCTCCAGCCGCGCCATGGCCGCCTCGGCGGCGGAGGACGAGTTGATGGCCTCCTGAGTCGTGGCGCCGTCGTTGTCGTTGTCGTTGTCGAGGCGGGCGTAGCGGCCGCCCGTGCGGCGCGCGGCGGCGGCGAGCGCGAGGCTGGTGGCGGGCGGGCGGCGGCTGCTAGACGGCGGCGGCGAGGCGTCCACGTCCACGTACGGGGCGTCGACGATGAGCTGGGCGTTCCAGCCGCCGGCCATGGCAGCGACGAGCTCGGCGAGCTCGGGCGAACCGTCGGCGGAGGCGTCGTTGGCGATCGCACGGACGCCGTCGATGTAGGCCTTGGAGGCCGTGTCGGGGCACCACACCAGCTTCATCGTCCACCGCCTCTGCTGGCCTCTCGATCCTGCTGCAGCGCGCTCTGGTGACTCCAGCCCCCTTCTCCACGCACGGTGCTTCCCTTTTTCTTCTTGCTTTTCTTTTCATTTTCCATTTCAGAGCACGCACGGTGGACACTCACGCGCTCGCAAAGCACACATGCCTAGTACACCGGCATCTCAGAGAGAGGGAGGATGGTAGTCAATATAGGTGCTTTCGGGGTGTGCCCGCAGGCCTTTCCGGGACGTCCTAGTTGGGCGACTCCTGCCCTAGCACAACCCCCCCCCCGCCGTACACCACCGCTGGTCCCCCTCCGGCATCATTACTAAAAAACGATTCGTGGCAACACCTTCCTTTCTTTGTAGGGACGGCTCTATATTGAGCCGCCCCTACAAATGGTTGTCAAATGAGCCGCCCTTATAAATGGATTTGTAAGGGCGGCCGGTGTTATCAGCCGCCCCTATTAATGGCCCGATTTGTAGGGGCGGTTCTATATCCAGCCGGCCCTACAAATCCGATTTGTAGGGGCGGCTCAATATTGAACCGCTCCTACAAATAGACGCCGAGTATTAAAAATTAAGTACTAAAATTTAAATTTTGTAAACAACCTCAGATAGAGAAACAAACAAAATGAAAGTTGTAGATCTCAAAAAGTTATGAAACTTTGTTGTTGACAACTTTTTGATTTGAGATCATCTTGTCAAGGAAAACTATGTTTGAATTTCCAAAAATTTGAAATTTGAATTTTTTTAAACGACCTCGGATGGACAAACAGTAAAAATAAAAGTTGTAGATCTTGAAAAGTTATGAAACTTTGTAGTTGATAACTTTCTCATTTGAAATCATCTTGTCATGAAAAACTACGTTCGAATTTCTCAAATTTGAAATTCAAATTTTATAAGTGGCCTCGGTTAGAGAAACTATCAAAATGAAAGTTGTAGATCTCGAATAGTTATAAAACTTTATAGTTGACAACTTTTTCATTTGAATTAGTTTAGGGCCTCAAACAATTAATTTATGCTTAGTTTTGTATAATATGTGGGGAACCGAAATGGATTATAGACATATGTGATCGTTAGGTGCAGTGGTAGAGGAGTTTGCGCGCGAGGGAGACGTTGCGGGTTCGAATCTCGCCCAATGCAAAGTGTGCAAAAATCATAAAAAAATGCTACAACCATAGAGTGGTGGTGTGGCTGCCGGTGGGTACCTCCTCAGATTTAAAAAATTGCTATTTTCCCCCTTTTTCGTGATTTCTGAAAATTGATTTGTAGGGGCAGCTCAATAACCAGCCGCCCCTCAATCACCAACCGCCCCTACAAATACATGATTTGTAGAGACCCTTGGGTAGGGGTGGCTGGGCAAACCGCCCCTACAGAGCCTCTGGAGCCGCCCCTACAAATCATATATCACGTAGTGCAACTTACCGGGGGCTGAAGGGAGTGGGGATCCATTGTTTTTAATAAGCTTTCCCTAGTAGATCGAGTCATTAGGGTTAGTGTCTCTCCATACCAATTTTTTTGGTATTGAAGTTTTATCTCCTTCTCCTCCTCTCCGGCGATGGTGAAGGGGAATGGTGGAATCGTCTTCTCCATGGCGGCTCCGTTAAAGATGAGGGCGACAACTTCGGCGTCAGCATCTTCATCGACATGATGACATGGAGACTTTTGTTTCTCGACGGCGGCATCAAGGCGGAGATGATGTCACCGCCATGGAATAATTTACTCTGGTCTCTTCTCCTTTTTGTTGTGGTTAGATCGGGCCATGATGAAGGACTAGAGAGAATAATTTTTAGATCACTCTTCCTCACTCTTCGGTGGCAGAAAGAAGAAGAAGGACACCAGAAAGAAAAAGTTCCTCAATTCCGCCTATCGGAACCGTTGTTCGTTGGGCATTTGTTATCAGGCCATTTGCCGAGTGTTTGCCTGTGCGGTCATCCATACTGCAAAACATCTAACATGTTAGGTTTTGAGTTGTGCTATTCACAGCGTGGGTACTATTTTGTAATCTAGAGTGCTTGTAATGTGTTGACATAGCTATCATATAATATAATTCTTCTTTCATCGTAAAAAAATATACGTGCTTTTGGTGGTACACCACATGCCCAGCCGGAACACATGAAACATGGCCGCGCGTGCTCCTCATTCCAGGAGTGTTATGTTAGGAACGTCCTCCGTCCACATTCTTGATTCGGGAGCATTTACATTCCTCCCACGTTATAAAAACAACACTATAAGTTTTCAGTTCATGTTCCATGTGTCCCGTTCCCTTGTGGAAACATGGCTGCTGATCACATCATGGTCTCTTATCTACAGGCTCGTTGTTGCTTGGCGCTTGACATACCAACATTCAGTTCGCACGCATCGATCCATCTATCATCTGGGATGCGTGGTGATGCGTTCTGTCTGGTGTTCCTTTCCCTCATGTATGAAGATGTCATGACTTGTACGGAGTTTAGATTTCCTCCGTTCCCCCTAAACAATTGTGGTGTTAGCATAGCATGTTCATTCGCACACATAAACAAATGGGTACAAGTGGAACCTTCTTTCGAGTGATTCAAGACTTACGTTCACTTTGATTTTTTCTGCTTAATCCAATGATGTCGTGTGGACCTCTTCCCAACTCAGCAAGGTTACAGTTAGGGTTCCAAGGCTAACCTGATGCGGACTCAAAGGGATCGCCGGTGGAAGGTTGGCCTGATGATGTTGCGAGGGGGCGGTGGGGGCTGGCCGGACACTTGGGGAAGACGATTGAGCGGGGTAAGGACAAGGTATGACATTGATAGCCTTGCAATCTGCGCCAAGTTAGTGCGGTGGCGATCATAGGCAATGGCGGATCGGAGGCGGTGGAATTGGGTGAGTGGCGATGGCGGTAGGGCGCTGTCAGAGTAAGATGGGGGGGCTGTTGAGGGGCTCAAGCGAAGATGAAGATGACGTCTAGGAGGAGGCACATCTGATGGATTTTAGGACCGAGCCATGGTGGACAGCATCGGAGTCGCCGGGGAGGCGGAGGTGAGGGGTCAAGCTGCATGGGAGGGAGTGGGGAGGGAATTTGATTGAGTAGGTGAAGGGCAATTAAGAGACAAGAATTGACGAAGATAAGATAGAAATATTCTGGACGCTTTGATCTGGATGCTATATTATATTATAGATCTATAAGGAATAAAAAGATAGAGCGATGATGGTTGCTCTTGAAATAGTTTTTGTTGTTGTCTAGATAGAACTTACCAAATTGCACTAGAGTTCCAAATAAACTAAAAACAGGAGTTGTACATCCTGTTCTCGGGAGCATACACGACTTCTTCTCGTTACCACGGCCTTGCACCGCTGCGGGCGCATCATCCACAGTTTTCGCTTGAAATCCTGCTTGCATGATGGCGAGTTTCCCGATGTTATTACTGCATGTGTTTTAGAAACAAATGGAACTAAAAAAATCATTTTCGTTCACCTCTGTAATCCCATTGCTTTCGAAATCACGTTTTCGGCACCGTAATTGACGCCGGCTCGCAAATTTGTCGTCTCCGTAGATTCGGTGAATCCACCCACATCTGACACTGACATGTACCATGTACGACGTGCGACAAAACTATCGGTCACATCACAGACACAGGTGTAGACGATAAAATTGACAAGTCTGACACAGAGAGAACGATAAAGTCCTTGTTTAGTTTCCACCTAAATTTTTACACTATACCCTATCAAATATTTAGACACATGTATAGAGTATTAAATATAGACTAAAAATAATTAATTGTATAGATTATGACTACTTTACTAGACGAATCTTTTAAGCCTAATTAGACTATATTTTGATAATAAAGTGCTACAGTAACACATGTGCTAATGACGGATTAATTAGGCTTAATAAATTCATCTCGTGGTTTACCGACGGATTCTATAATTTATTTTTTTATTAATATCTAAACACCCCATACAACACCCGATGTGATACCCTAAAACTTTACACCCCTGTATCTGAAACGGATAAAAAAACGCAGCTGCTGCTGGGTCGTGGGTCTGGCCGTCTGGGTGTGTGCGCGCGCAAGTCGCAACGGCGCGGCAGGGCAGACGTACGTACTAAAGGACAAAGAAAAAGAAGGCAGCTTGGTCGTCCTCCTGACGTGCAGTGCAGTATGCAGTAGGACGACGACAAAGCAGCTAGCGGACGCAATCCAACGAAGGACACGAGATGCACGCCGTACTTATCTATCCGCAGCTGCTAGGTGAACCGAGCCATCGAACGACGTGTGACATGGATTTTGTTTATCAGCGTCACCAACAAAAGTCAACTCTGCATTTCGAGAGATGACCGATGCATGCATGCCATACGGGTCAAGCGCAACTGGATGATGATACAATATAACTAGTATGTGCCTTTATATATATATATATATATATATATATACACGAACTATTCTATAGCTGGCCACAGAATAAGTTATTCTGTGGCCACTTACGATAATTATTATACTAATTTATGAGATTATAGTAACTCCTCCATAAGTGATTTAGTATAACCTTATGGTATTCTATGGCTATATATATATATAGGGTAAGGCTAAGGCTATTCTGCAGCTGGCCATAGAATAACTTATTCTATAGCCACCTTGATTTACGACAATGTTTGTACCAATTTACGATAACATGAATATGCATTTACGATACTCGTGTTACTATAACTCACAGTAATATTTACCATAATGTTATAGTAAACCATTTAGTAAGGAGTTTCTGTAATCTCGTAAATAAAAATAGTAATTATGGTAACTCAAAGTGGCCACAGAATAAGTTATTCTATGGTCAGCTGCAGAATAGTAGTATATACTGCATGATTTTCCATGCTAGATGACCAAGTACATATATACTGGTAAGTAGTTTTATCGATCTAGTTGATTTTTATCGATCTAGTTGATTTTTTAGATATACATACAATAGTATGGGCTTTAGTTTGGCCTAATTGGCACTAGGTCCTCAGCTCATTTTGTATACTTACAACTTGGCTT